TGAATTATTTGTGTTGTTATTACAAGTGTTGCTGTGACCCCCCTAGGAAAAGGTTATGCCCCGCCCTGTATGGAAGCAGATAAGCTTTCTAACGTGTCAAATTCAGTTCAATCACTTTTAATTTATTCAAGCTTAAATTAACTCCCACTTATTTTCCATGTAAGTTTGTAGTTAGTTGTTTTTTTTTCAAAATTAAAAGAACAGAAAGCAACTCATTTTCTAAGATCATATCTTTTGCAAATAGTTTTATCCAGGTTATGCTTTTGAATGTTACTTCAATATTCTGGTGTGTACTTTCTTTACATTTTTGCAAGCATCTAAAAAAACCCAACAAAGTAGATTACAATTCCTGAACTGGATTGGAAATGCAAAGAAGATGAATATGTTTCTTTCCTGTTCCTACTCTTTCTAACCATTTGTTTTCCACAGATCAGCAAATAATTTTAACAAGAGTCAGGGCCTTTTTTAAAACCTTATCATCAGGGTGCATGGACATACTACTAAAATGATGGCTTACCATTTTAGCAGTACAAGAACCACCCTATTAGAAGACAGGTGTTAAGAGAAAAGTTGTAAAATTTGTTTTTAACATGCTCTGAATGCAAGGTTTCCTTTTGCTCCTTGCAGAAATGCTTACTTAATTATAATTCCATTATATCAATATAGAAGAAACAAAAGTGTCTCTAGGAGAAAATCTCCAGAAAAGCTTGAGCCTCTAAACCAGGAGTGTCACACTGAAGGCCCAGGGGGCGGCTCTGGCCTGCAGGGGCTTAGATATGGCCTGTGGGGCTGCCTTGGAAATAGTGAAGGACCAGCCCGCAGTGCCTCTGCCAGCAAAAATGGAATTCTGTTTTCATTGGCAGAGGGTTGCAGAAGGCTGTCGCAGCGGAAAATGGAGCTAAGAAGCCTGTTTCCGCTGGTAGAGCGCCCGGGCCACCACAGGCACCCCCCCCTGACACAAATGACATCATGCTGACCACACCCACCCTGGCCATGTTCCCCCCCCCAGGTCAAACAGAACCCTAATATGGCCCTCAATGAAATAGTTTGACACCTCTGCTCTAAATGAAACACAACATATTTTTAAAATATATTCCATAAGAAAATCAACTGTTTATATTTTGCCATAGTAAAATGTTTTATAATTCAGTATGTCAATTATTCCTTGTCTGAAAGAAAAATTTCAGAAGAAAAAAAGAAGAGAGAGAGAGAGGGAGGGAGAGAGAGAGAAAGAAAGAAATGAGGAATGCTTAGAAATGATTGCAGAATATGGTTTATGCTGAAATATGGCACTGAGATGAAGATGTTACTGAAATAAACAGTAAATAAAGGCAACTCCCAAATTATGTTAACTTAGTGGAATAAGAATTTGGTAACTAATTTGCCAAATCCATAAACCATACATTTTAATATATAAGATAATTATTTCACTGAAGAAACATAAAAGCCTTATTTTATTTGTGGGTAAATATTGCTTAAAAGCCTTTTGCTTTTCATCACCTACTCCAGTTTGGCTGATCTTAAGAATCTATGACACACGTGTCAAACTCACCGTGTCACATTGCTGTCATGTGATGTTTCGTGATGTGAGTTCTAGTCCCACCTTAGGCATAGAGCCAGCTGGGTGACCTTTAACTAATCACTTTGTCACAGCCTTAGGAAGGAGGCTATGGCAAACCATATCTGAAAAACCTTGCTGAGAAAACTGCATGATCTTGAGAATCAAAATAACCAGACACAACTAAATGGAAGAGAATCAGAGTCAATTACATTTACTGTAAATGGAAGGATGACCATAAGACCAGAGAAAAAGTGACTGGCATCTTAAAGTACTATATGCCGTTGAATTTTCCAAAAATTGCTATCAAAATTGGAAGTACTAAAAATATAATTAGACAGAAGGGATGCAAAAAACTAATTACAGGAAGTTTCAGAGGAATAGAATATTCCCATTTTGGGAACAGTTGGTTTCAGAGAACAGTGCTAGATGGTAATCCTATTAATTTATTATCATGACAGCTGCATTTAGCTATGGTTTCCTCCTAGCTACTTGCATATCTAGGCAAAATCCCCCAAAATGTGTTGGCTTAATTTTTATAAGAACAATCTGGAAGTAGAGCATAGTTTAGTTTCTCACACTAGGTGGAAAGAAAGGATAGCTCCAGATGCTGAGATGGCAGCAGAAGTATAGTCTTAAATTATCAGAAGAACTATGGGGAATGAGTAATGGGAAGAGATAGGAGAGAGGTGTAATGGTTGTGACAAATATTATCTAGACCAGTGATGGCTAACCTTTTCCAGACCAAGTGCCCAAAGTGCATGTGTGTGAATACGTGTGTGTGTACCCAAATCCCCAAAATGCAATGTGCATGCGGTCCCCTCACATGCACCCTGCCCACCTTGCATTCGCAGCAGAGAACTGAAAACTATTTCGCGGGGGGGGCATGTGCACATGCATAGTGGAGCTGAGCTGGGGCAACGGTTCTGGTACCCCCAGAGAGGGTGCTGCGTGCCATCTCTGGCCCTCATGCCATAGGTTCGCCATCACGGCTCTAGAGAACTCCAGCTACTGAAGATGTATGGTTTTGATAACTAAAGGTGTGAGCTCATAAGCCTGAATTGTATTGGCACTGTTTATCCTTCTGAATATTCATTAGTTTGAAGGCAAACCTGGAGGAGACTGCCAAAGAGTTTTGGGGCATGGTCCAAAGACATGTTCTGAAAATTCAAAGAGCATCATAAGATGTAGCCTACCCTGTACAGATGATTCCCCAAAGAATGAAAGAGGATTAAAGGTTTTATCCACTTAGAAATAAGCAAGCAGTCAGCCTGACTGGCAGACAGCAAATTGCCATCAATATATGCAAGGACCTTTTAAAATTCTAAATTAGGAAGTTGATAGAATCAAGGTATAGAGCAACGGACAGATGCATTATGCTAACATTATACAGCACATAAATATCTGGGTAAAAAACAGGCTATAAAATATTAACCAGCAAAAAAATGCATCCATTATTGACTCAGAATGGGGAGAATACATAATATATTCTGTTATACTCATGTTACAGAATATAGCTGGGATATCAAAACTAAAGGTTAAACAAATATTTTGTTTTTAACACCTCATTGTTTGAATAAAAGGGGAAAAAATCTGCAACAGTGTTCTGTGTTGAGCTTCTACCAAATCCTGAGAGCCCAGAGAAAGTCCGAGTCACTTATAATTAACTATGGGTGTAAATAACATTAAATCAAGTTTAGTGTTTGTCCTAGGGCCACTTTTGAAAAAGAAGCCTCTTCAAGCATAATTCAAAAGCTAAGAGTGGCTCTCAGTTTATAAGGAAAAATTATGTACTCTTGATAAATCGGTATTTATGTATACCGTATTTTTCGGAGTATAAGACACACAAAGATTTTGAAGAGGCAAATTTAAAAAAAAAAGTTTTTGCACTCTGTAGACCTCTCAAAAACGGCCTGTTTTTCGTGAAAATGGGCTAGTTTTTTGTCAAAAAAAGGGGCATGAATAGCCTTTAGGAGGTTCCTGGAGGCTGGGGGGCAAAACAAGCACAAAACGGTCCATTTATTGTGAAAATGGACCCATTTTTTGTCATAAAAAGGGCATGCATAGCTTTAAGGAGGCTTATACTGTGTTCCTGGGGGCTAAGGCCCCCAAAATAAGCAAAAAATGGCCAATTTTTCACTCATTTCCAGCTCCCAGGAGCACTCTGGAAGTCTCCTAAAGGCTATGCATGGACATTTTGGTGAAGGGGCAGGTTTGAGGAGGCCAAAAATGTTGTATTCAGTATAAAAGATGCACCCTTGATTATATAATAATTCAGTATAAGATCATTTGTTTTTAAGATGTTATGGAATGGCAAAATAATAAAAACATAAAGTAGTATGAAATGAATGACACAGCAAGACAGATATAAGCTGAATATGAAAAAAAATTAAAAATATCCCACTCTCAACATTAAAGGAAACTCTTAATAGGTACCCAAATTAGTATGTAAATCTAGCATGCAAGTTATGTTGTGATTCCATGATAAATTACAGTACTCCATGATAAGGGTAAAAATTCCCTTCGCACATATGTGCTAGTCATTCCCAAGTCTAGGAGGTGGTAGTCATCTCCATTACAAAGTTGAAGAGCCAGCACTGTCCGAAGACATCTCCATGATCATGTAATTGGCATGACACAACGCCGAAGGGGCAAGGAGCGCTGTTACCTTCCCACCAAAGGTGGTTCCTATTTTTCTACTTGCACTTTTATGTGCTTTCGAACTGCTAGGTTGGCAGAAGCTGGATCAAGTAACTGGAGCTAACTCCATTACGCGGTGCTAGGGATTTGAACCACCAAACTACCGACCTTTCTAATCGACAAGCTTAGTGTCTTCGCCACTGAGCCACCCTTTACTCCATGATGTACTTAACAACTATTAACCGAATTAGCCCAACTGCCTGGGTTCACAAGACTCAACTATAAACTAACTATACTGCATGGGTTCCCATGATACACTTCACCACAAACTAGGTAAGCATCCTATGCAAATTTAGCCTGTGCAGTGTTATGTATTTTATTTTAAAATTTAAATGGAAAGGAGTTGTCCTGATTTAAATGTAACTTCAAGAATGTTATTTGCCATTGTCTTATAAATAAGAATTGTGCACCAGACTCATTGTATTACTCATCAAAAAGTAAAGCCCTTGCTTGTTTGCAAGATGGATGGCAGGATCCATATATTCAATAATCCAATTAAAGATGACAGCTAGTTAAGAAACACTCAATGTTCAGCTTTGACTTCTACCTCTTTTTCTTCTTCTTTTCTTTCTTCTTCAGTTTTTCTAAATCTTTTTTAGCCATATCCAGGATTTCAATCGTCTCCTTATCAGAGGGAAGCATCGAAGCAGAAAATGCTGAGGATCCACCATAGAATGTTGACCTTGTTGAAGCTCTTGACAAGTTGCGCCGAAGGTTTTCATTCACTGCTTCGCTTTCGAGTAGCTTAGCTCTTGAAGAAGAAAAATATATTGAGAAGGCAGAAGAAAAACTCAAATATAAAACTAACTAAGAACGCAATGGCTTAATCAAAATTCTAAGCAATTTGTTCACATAAATGCAAAAAGCGGCACACGGAATTGCAAACAATAGTCACAATAATATTTTCATCATTATATAACATTTTTAACAAAGCAGTTTTCTTTTTCATACCATATTCTTGTAAGAATATGGACAAGCCAATTGTATAGTGTTTGTAAACTTTTTGTTCATCAGGATGAGAAAATTAAGTTAGTGAATAAAGTTTTTAGAAAAGTAAACCATAATGCAAAACTATTGTTTTCCATGGATTACTGACTGCAATCTTGGCATGTTGCACTTCCCTGTTTATTCCTGATTTGATTTTGCACTCCGAGAAAGAGAAACAAATCAGAAATAATTCAGCAACATGACTAATGTATTGAACTTATAAAAGCTGGTTCAAACAAGCAATGGCTTGGTGAGATATGAAAAT